TTAAGTTACAATGAAGTTGGTCAACACTGATTAACACTTTTCTACAAATCGACATAATTCCGATTAATTAGTGCATAATACATGATCTATGATGATAATTGATTAGTTGGAATATTCGAATGTGAAAATCACACGTGTTTCTGTTAGAAGTTTGACCGGTGATTGAATAGAGTGTGAATAGTGATAAATTTGGTGAGAATGAATGTAGTGACATATTAGGTGAATGAGTCGTCAACTGCATTTCGCAAACATGTTGCAATGTGATGTTTCAATTGATTAATGGAACATTGTTTCTTCTGATAATGGATTTAGTTATTTTGGTGATATACGGTAAACACATGTTGTTGTTGATGATGATCGAGTGATTGTATCGGTTTATTGGGATATTCCAAACAAGCTATCGATCTCCACTGATCACAAATAGAACGAGATATTTCTGTTGAATGTCGCTGTCTGGTGCTTTGCAAAATACTATCAACTTGTGAATGCAACTACTTCCGAGGAAACCATTCAAGAGGCTGTGATGTGAACACAGACTGACCAGTTCACATGTGAATGCTGACGCCTGGGATGTACTTATATTTACGAGTGACAATCGGCCAGTTTGTTGGTGCAATAGCTGTCCACAATCGATATAGATCTGCATATTCACATGTGCGTGTGTGTGTATTGATGTTTTCATACAACGTTTGCATACTACGTCAATACAACGACAACTGATACGCCCATATCACCCAAACGTTTGATCATTCGACCACGAGAACCCATCAAATAACACACATTTTAAACTATGCATATGTCATATATACTAAATATCCATCTTAATCCGTTCAACATGATGAATGTGGAATGTTGGATTCATGAGTTGTGTAGAGTGTGTGATCTTTTCACAACGTACGCTTACCGACTATCCATGTAGGTGACCGCTATTTGACAGCATAGGAACATTTAAGTGTGGATCATAAGGTAGTGAGGGATATGAGCTAGTAGCGTGAGAGGGTGATAGATGAGCAGTAACTTGTGATCAAAGAGGGTTTAACAAACGTTATTTGTTATTTGGAATTCAGTTTACAATGGCAGCGATTTCCATGTGTATAGTTTAATTGTGCACGATTGTGAATAGTGAACCCTCATATATTGACTGTTTTCAATCGTTCTACACACTGTCTGGAAACATTGACCTATACTTATAATTGTTAACAACAAATGCAATTGACTTGACCAGACAGACAAGTGAACGTTTGTGTATACAACACAGATTTAAAAAATGTTTTCGTTGGAAGTTTGTGCCAAATCATCATTCAGAATCTATCGACAAAGTCACAAGTTCATCAGAGTGCATCGAAAACACTAATAACAATAATGATTATGGTAGGGTTCTCGTTTACAAATCCATGGTTACATTATTACGTAAATGTTTTTAGACATGAGATTTATGGTAAATTAAATGAGGTTTCAATGTACTTGATAATTGAGTCACCATTTCCAGTCACCTCAAGGGTAGTCGATGAGAGGATGTTGACCAGTAATATCTCTATTCCTTGTTGATTTGACCCTCAGAAAATGGCAAAATCACAATTCGTTAGGGAAGTTAGTTGAAGTTTCCCGGAATCTGTATAATTTGTTCAAATCTCTTAGTTCGGTAAAGTGGATAGCTTATCGACTAAGTGTTCTAATAGTTGAGGATGTTTACAATTATTGTACACGTGTGTTTTCTATGTGAACTCGGTAATATTCGAACTAGAACAACACATATAAGCGAACAATCGTTTTCAATTAGATCGTCATCAGGCTTTACTCTAATATACATGAATATTTATACGAAAATGTAAACCAATCAAGGCAATATGAGTCAATAGTCACAATGAAATAGAATAAGTCTCTACACACAATCGTTAAAAGTACAAGTTGATAGTAGGAAGACAGGTGAACTGATAATAGTAAGAATAATCTTAAATACAATAACAAAACTCTTATCAATAGTTAAACGTTGGAAACCCTTATACATGAAAGTGGATGGGACTGTTCTCTGGGATTGTCTATTGAAGAAGGGTGTGTCTGAGAAGTTTATTAACATCCTAAAAGCCCTATATACAAACACCTCAGGCGGAGTGAGGGCATACAACCACCTCTCACCATTGTTCGATTCGAGCAGTGGGGTTAGGTAGGGTTGCCCAATCTCACCATTCTTCTTCAACTTTGCCATCGATGACATTCCGGAAACAGCTCTGATGGATGTAAGTAATTGCAGTGTGGATCTGTTGCCTGGAGAGACTTCTCGACCTTGAGTATGCGGATGATATTGTCTTACTGTGTGATAATGCCCAAAGCATGCAATCCGCACTTAATCAGTTGGCAATCAGTGTCCGTAGGTATGGTATGTGCTTTGCACCTTCGAAATGCAAAGTACTTCTACAAGACTGGCAGGATCCTAATCCTGTACTCACCCTGGATGGTGAGCAGATAGAAATAATCGAGAAGTTCGTGTATCTGGGTAGCTGCATAAGTGCTGGTGGGGGTGTGAGTGATGAGATCAATGCACTTATAGTGAAAGTCAGAGCGGCTTATGCCAATCTGGGCCACCTTTGGCGCCTTCGTGATGTTAGTCTGGCTGTAAAAGGTCGGATCTACAACGCGTCGGTGAGAGCAGTTTTGCTCTATGCTTGTGAAACCTGGTCTCTCCGAGTTGAGGACGTTAGAAGACTCTCTGTGTTCGATCATCGTTGTCTCCGAAGGATTGCTGACATCCAGTGGCAACACCATGTTAGTAATGCAGAGGTTCGGAATCGTGTGTTCGGGGACAGAGATGATAATGCAATAGGTGTCACCATCTTGAAACACCAACTTCGGTGGCTTGAACATGTTCTACGAATGTCGTCCCAGAGAATTCCACGCCGTGCATTATTTGCCGACTCTGGGACTGGTTGGAGAAAGCGGAGAGGTGGTCAATATATGACATGGTGTCGTGGTATGAAAGAAAGCTGCAGAAGGCTGGCTTGTGCCGGTCCTTCACTACTCCCTGGTTGGGGTACAACACTGTGGCTAGAGACGTTATCAGATATGGCTCAGAATAGAAGCCAGTGGCGATCATGCTGTAACCTTCTTTCACTTTCTTCATGAAACGTGGTTGTATTTTTAACTGAAAGATTTCTTCTGATTGTACCCTTCTGTTCCCCTACTATTACTATTATTATTACACTACCTTACACCAATCTCTTCAATATTGTTTTTTTTATATCTTTTTTTACGTTCCCCACTTTTCTCTTATTCTTCTTCTTAGATTCTCATTGTTTTGTGTGGCGCATATATATTTGGCGCACTCCTGTACCAATATATGTGTTCAAATAAAAATAAATAAAAAAAGTCGGTTAGGTACAAATGAGTAATGTTGGAAAGCATCGACAGATGAACACCTGAAATCTTCGTATTACATAATAATCACAATATATTATACATCTAATTCGGGTGTATTGTGGATAACTTTCGATAATCTGTCTGATAGAATAGTAGTGACTAAGTGTAACACTCAAATAATAGTTTCCTAATGATAAAATGCCGTGTAACAAAATATACGATCTAATTGAAAGCAATTGTTCGCTTATATGTGTTGTCCTAATTTTCAAAATGGGAATCTTTAATATTCCAACTGACAATTTCGATACAGTAAACTGCAAAAGAGATTTGATGACACGCGATTGACAGGCAATGGATTGTATTTGAGGCCATTTATTGACGACTATGTATCAAGGAAATATTAGGACAAACTGACTCAAGAATATGAATACGTGTAGAAATGAAATCCACCGTTTTACACTTGAGATTGAACAATGTATAAACCAGTAAACAGATTAACACAGTAATGTTCAGTGTGGACTCATTTTTACTTTAAACTGTATATTATATTATGCATTCATAGTTAGACAAGATGTCTGCTCTAGTTTCCTGGCACTACATTTATTGATCAACGTGTATATCCTAAAGTATGCATACTGAATGATCGGATAGAAGACTCACTACTTGGATTAAAAATTCAAGATCACCCCTAATTCAGTTTATCGAGTCTGTTGTAGAAAAAAATTCGATAAGTGAGTTACTGCCCCAATAGTTCAGTGGTAACGTCTCAGACTGTTCGGTTTGGTGACACGGGATCGAACCTAACAGGAAATACCAGTTTCCTCAAGATTACAGTTATCTTTTATTGATAAGTATCAAATAGCACGAGATTTGAGTTCAAGACATCCAGTACACTACCTCCATCCACATTATATGAGAAAGATATTTTTAAACTGGTTGGGACAGTCCTTAACGTTTGAACTTAAGTTCCATTTTAGTCCCGGTGATTAGATCATTTATTCGTGAAATTAGCAATAGAGATACACAAAAACAATCCTACAAAATTTCAAATTACATGATAATCATATTGTTTATTTTAATACACTTCATAAAATCTCGTCAATAACCACATTATGTAAATAAGTAATTTAGGCTGATCTTAATTTAATAATAACCGTTTATTCAATATAATGCGCGTAATACCCAATTCATTTTTAAACAGTACAAAAGTCTGAGGAGTTTGAGCAAAGAAATATATATTTGTAAATTGGTCGGAATGAACATAAGCACACAATTTAGCGGTAAACTAAGAAAGCATTTTGTACTACAACAGATAAAGTTCGATAAGTTGAAAAAGTAATAGCTGACAGTTCAAGCACAACAAACCAGTTATTGACTGCATACATATGAAACCTCGGTAAGTTTACTTATTTCATTCACATTTGAAAACATATATCATAGGTTGCCCATCAGATTTCAGGTAAACACGTGACTACTAACTGGTTGATCAATTGGGAAGTTTTTATTTGGAGGATAGATTATTTTTGGAATGATGCTAGGGCACACACTAGAAAAGTCAAATGTCCCACTGACCGCATTGGACTCTTTGCGTAAAACAATTATGAAAGCTGGGAAACCTTCGGCTTTGCGTTCAAATATCTCAAAATTCAACTCTTCTGTCTGAAATACAAGGAGGGAATTGCAAAAACATTTCTTCGTAAAGCCTGATAGAGAAATGAATCACAAAACTACTGTAAACAAGCATTCGGTTATTGATTGTTTTGATGTACGCATCTCGTTATTTTTACAAGAGAATTTAAATAATATTAGTTCATTTTAGGATGAATATTATACCGTTGGTAAGCGGTGTAAGTTAAGAAGTGTTCGACTTCTAGCCACTAGTCTCAAGTTCGAACCCCGATTCACCTACTTCGACTTGGGAATTCAAATAGTACTATTAGCACTCCCACATAGAGTATGGTTCGTACCCAAGTACCTAGTGTGAATGAAACTCATTATTCTTCAACAGTGTATGAGTATGTCACTGATCAATCATACCGTTGACACAATACTGCATACAAACGGAAAGACAATGCATGATAGGCCCTTCAACATACAGTATGATAATTCCACTACAGTCTATACACACATTGTGCAACTATCACTAAGACTACTCGGGTGAGATGAAATACAAACTGATAACCCAGTAACTGCGTGCAGTATCTAAATAACTAAGTATCAGGTTCATTGCTGAAAAGAGAAGTATTACCTCAAATTTTACAATCAAATTAAAAATGATGCAAGAAATCAGTACAATAATAATCAACTTACAATGCGACTGGGTTGCAACATCCTGAAACCTCCCCAAGCAAGCTTTCATTTTTACGGATCGCTACAAGATCTTGAACAAGTGAGAGAGAAGTAATCCCACGACCACTTGATGTTGCGGACTAAAACAGATGGGAAGACAGATGATCCATTATTTGTACATGACAACTTTAATTCAACAAAACACTTGGGGAACCGATTTTATGCACATCAACAGCCATCGATATCTTGAGCGTCATCATTAGACTAGTTAACATCTCATGAAAAACAAATATACGAAATAAACTAAACGTTTTTAAGCCAAGAAGCAATAAAGAGAACTGAGTGAAATGAATGCTCACAGTTAACACGTTGTATTTTCAGAAATTGAAAATATTATAATCTATACAAAACATATGTTTCTAGAAAATGAACTCCTACAATGACAAGAAAAGGAAGTTTCACCCAGAAAAATCTGCAGTGAAAATTTAAAGGAGGTTTGGGTGAGTGGTTAACTACGACATAGTAAGAATCACATTTTGAATGTTAAAATTGAAGCAACTCTGATCATATATCGGGAGTCAGTCAGTGCTTCTAATTCCCGTAACTACGTATTTGAGGTAACATTAACTTATTTCAGGTTACATTTATCAACCTAGTTGAATGCGTGATTAGTACTGAACAAAACAGACAGTTACTCAAGGCTAGAGGAGTGAGCAACTAATACTTTGATAGTTGAAGCTGGATAATCGTTTTCTGACAATGCAATCTACTTGCTTTTCAGTGTCAAATGACAGTACGTTTTAGACATGTATAGCAAGCTTATAAACAACTGTTTATTATGCAATCTATTGAGAAATTTTCCATGACAAAACTGGTTGAAAATTTTGCGTTTGATGCAAACGATCCCGTTAGTTTTAATGTTAATACCTTAAAACCTACGCAAAATAAATATTTAACAATTAAGAGCAAATGTCAATAACATTCTGGCATATTCGATCTCTAGTAGTCTAGTCACTATACGTACCTCGACTGTTTCATTAAATTTAAAGGCTTTCAAATATTCTGTAAAAGAAGTAACATTTGATAGCATCGCCGAAAAACCAACTCCAGATTGATCCCAAGGCATGGCTAATTGAGATAAAAGTACATCAGTTTCGTTAGAGCCAGTGAACACAGTCTTCTCATCAAACGGGTAAAAATCGACAGTGAATTTGGTGTTTCTCGTCTCCTCATTTAACTCCGAACCATAATACAGTAGACAAGTGCCTAGAAATACAGCAAGCACAAAATATACTCCCGAAAATTGCAAAACTCAGGGAAAGTACAGGGTTTGCTAAAGGAATAACTGACTGTATTTGCGACAGAACACAGCAACGTAATTGTGACGGATTATTATGATGGTCACAACTAACTAATTTACAGATTGGTAATGAATTCATTCTCCCCATTCACTTACTGTGTTTACAGTATGCTAAATCGTTAAGGTTGTTATTTATTGAAACAATAACATAAAAATCGACAGCAATTCGTTTCCAGTTGCTGTGGTTCAGACAGGTTAAAACCGATCAGTGATGTAGATGCGTCCATCCCATATTTGATGATGAGCTCTGAACTTGTTACTAGTCGTAATTTCGTTCGCTATCTTCGAACTAAGTTTCCTATACGCAGTTGTCTACTACCGTCGACATCAGTGTTCTTATCTCAGTTTCCACTACGCGAAACCCCTCCTATTATGCTGATATCAAATAAGGTAACGTGAGATAATTTGCATTTGTCACCACATCTTTAGTGACTGACTAGAAAATTCACAAACTGTTCTGATGGGTTTGATACTGTTTTGAAGCGATACATTTCTGAATGACTAATCGGTTTACTTAGACGTTTGGGCCATCGATTTCCATAACTCTGCAGATATTGCAATAAATCTTTCGGTCTCACGTTACATCAAATGGAATAATTAAAAGTCGTACTTCTAATACTTACATGTTTCTATAAAGGGCTTAAACACCACTATGTCAAGTAACGGTGAGACTAGACTGAAGAACCCGTGATTGTTGTCATATTCACTGTTTCTTACCTTTGGAAGGAACCAGAGACAGTTACATGGAAATTTCTACATCCAATACATAATGGATGAAGTTGTACCAATTAAGCTGGCATCAACCTCTCAATACAGATTGGTGCAGAAAGGGACTACTAAAGAACGCAGAACACACTATTCGCAGAATTACATCTCAGCGTACGCTAAAAGGTAAATTTATTGTTATCTTGCGTAATTGGGGCTGAAAGGTTTTACTGCAACAAAATCAGTATTTCATAAAGCAATTATTAGTACATAGTAATCTTGACACGTAAAAGGATATAAATGGTAATTTGTAGCTTGATAATTCGGGACTTCAGATCTCTATAGCTCTTCAATACTGCCACTACTCGGGATACTAATGAACTTAGTCAGGAACAAGTTCATGGTTCTTCTTCAGTACGTTTTTAACCGATGTAAAAACAATTGTTTAAGCTTCTTATGACAAACGACAGACTCAATTGCAGAACACACATGACACATAACTCAATAGTGTGTAAAATGACGTGACGTCATGTAAAGTGACTTAAAAGACTAAATAAGCACTTATTTGAAACATACAATTGGAATTTCAGCAAGTTAAAGGAATCACCACTAAGTTTGTTTATAGTATTGAAAAGGAAATAAATTCAACACAAATGACGACGCTCACCTGGAAGCAGAAACGTAGAAGCCAAAGCAACTAGATCAGACTGTCTAGGGTCAGTAGTTGAAGCAGCTGCCAAAGCCATGGAATCTCTGTCATCCACACTTAGCATATCATACGTCAAAATATTGTTGTTTATCACGAGAGGATTAGTTGGAGATGCTTTCCTACAAAATAAGCTTCGAATAGAACAACTTACCAACCACGCTGCTTAACAAACTGACGGCTTACAACTACATGTGCTGCTGGCGAATCTTTCGTCCCGAGATACTGCATGGAAGGGTCTTCCTTCTCACTAATACCATATCCTGTATTACCAGCATCAACTGCCAATAACCTTAGACGTTTACAGTAACACACAAGTAACTTACTTTGGTTTCCCACTGGACTCCGACATTTCATCGACAACCTTTCTAATTCTGCGAACAACCTCCACTGATTCATTCAGGTAAATTTGTGATGTCGGATATTCAGCAAACCATTTTGAACCCAACTATTGAATAAAATTAACTGAGAAAAACGCACCTCTTTTGTAATCGGGGTGGTGGGTTCTGCACTGTTTTCAACATAGAAAGCAACATTGTCTAAAAGAATGCCATCTATGCCCTCATTGAGCCAAAACTTTGCCACATCCTACAATGGATTCAAACTTCATTATGCTACGGCTTAACTTACAGAAACACGATCTAATGTAACTGACTCTCTCAGATTAAGATCAACAAACTGTGAACCAAAAACAGAGTAATATCCGGTGCCTTGTATAACGGTTCTTGCATCGCCACCTAAACGGGAAATCTAACGAAATAGTAGAAACGTTTTTATCATGTTCTTACCCGTCCACCACTCGGATATGGTTCGAGCATAGACGTTGAATCAGTCCATGAATGTTTCGCAGAGACAGAATTAAAGTCCATGGTCAAGACCACATGAATACCATTTTTGTGGCATGACCTCACAAAATACTTAAAATCTTCCATAGTACCAGCTGCAGGATCAATAGTATAGAAATCGTCCACAAGACCCAATGTTTTCTGGTCATTAGTAAACTGACCGGAGAAAATAGAACTGAGGACAATGAATCCCGCACCTATAGTACTTTTGATATATCCGAGTCTTTCGACCAAGCCTAAATGTAAGAGAAGAAGGATATGAACTTAACTAACCTCGTAGATCTCCGATTTTGTCACCGGTAGAATCCGCGTAAGCAAATGGGTTGACCCAATACCCAGTACTTGATCTCCAGAAAGGCAGAACAGGTCTTGGAGGACACTTGGGAGTGAACACTATTATTAAGATTGCCGCTAAGAGGAGTCCAATCCAAACAATCCAAAACAATATAAATAGACCCCATCTAAGACGTAACCACAACGGCTCTTTGCTGTCTAGCTGCATCAAGTCTTCTCTTGTAAGTAAACGATAGGTGTCTTTTTGTCCTGCTTCATTTTCATTCGTATCAGGACTATCTTTTAAGGTTGGTAAAAACCCCACCTCCTCGTCGTATGGAACTCTACCATTGGTACCGCTCAAACTCATACTTTACACAAACCAACCGCTTGTAAAGTGAGAATGATGAAATGTAGATGACAATGGAAAAGAAAAACAAAATAGCAAGTTGCTCAATCGGTCATTCGAAATATAAGGGTGAAGGCTTTTACTCTTATACAAATTTTTTGCCGACGTGACAACTTTAAAATCTTTTAGTATTCACTTATTGACTTAACGCCCAACATTGTGGAGATATGAATGACAAGCGCAGTTCCTATCTAAATCGCTACTGAAGTCGAGACCTGATCGACCAAGTACCACAGACCGATTCTTGCCAAAAAATTAAAGTAGCTGTGATACAACGCATATCAGTATCTGACGAAAAAAGACTTCAGCAACTGTTAACAGCATGCGAACTAGGTGACAAGAGACCATCTCACTTGTTACGGCATATGAAACAACTCTCAGGTCCGTACAAATTAGACGAAACCTCGCTTAAACAATTGCGTTTTCAACCCTTAGCACATAATGTGTGACAAATCCTTGGCGTGTCTGGGAATTCTGTCAACCTGGAAGATTTGGCAGACAAAACGATGGAAATATACCCCGATTCAAGCCTCCAGTAAAGAAGTTTTGAGTCACACATTCAACATCCAGCAACAGCTAACACAGTTAACAAGGCAGCTGGCATCACTGCAGGTAACTGTAGCAACAACCCATTCCAGACCTGCTGGATCCACGTCCAGAGAAAGATCAGTGTCCAGACAGCGCCCTAGGTCACCCAAGCAGGTAGCTGGTATTTGTTGGTATCATCTGAAGTATGTTGAGAAAGCACGTCGCTACACACAACCGTGCAAATTTACAACAAACAAGCAAGAAAACCAGGGAAACGAGCCGGCCAGACGGTAATGGCGGCGTCTGTTACTGGCCAACACACTAGCCGCCTTTTGCATATCGGGAACCGTATTTCTGGCTCAGACTTTTTAGTCGAAACAGGAGCAGAAATAAACATCATCCCACTTCACCTCTCACGACGACAACAAACGACAAGTACCAAACTGCCTCTTATCGCGGCTAACGACATGGTCATTAGAACTTATGGTGAACAATCCCTTATATTGCGTCTCGGGCTCCGAAGATTTACGTGGGTTTTTATAGTCGCTCAAGTCAAGCAACTCATTCTCGGAGCCGATTTTGTCAGCACCTTCAGTTTATTAGTAGACACGGACAAAAATAAGTTGATTGACCAGAATAGACGTTTGCAGGTGAATGGTACTCTTACGACCGATTGTGAAATTAATGGCATACGAATAGTAAAACCTGCGAACAATCTTTTCACTGATATCCTAACGAAATACGAATGTATCACTAAAGTTGATTACCAAAAGGAATGCACGGTACATCAAGTGCAACACCACATCACCACTACATATCCACCCATTTGTACCAAGGCGAGGAGAATACCACCGCACAAGTTGCAGACCGCGAAAAGGGAATTCAAACACATGGTGCAGCTTGAAATCTTTGGACAATCCAACAGCCCTTGGGCTTCGCCATTGCACATGGTACTTAAAAAAGATCAAGACTGACGTCCATGTGGTGATTACCGATGTCTAAATAACCAAACAATCCCAGATAGGTACCCAATCCCACACATACACGAGTTCTCATTAAACTGACTTGAAAAACGTCCCTTCTCGAAACTTGACCTCGTGCGAGCATACCACCAAATTCAGATGGCACTAGAAGACATCGAAAAAGAGCTATCATTACACCTTTTGGTTTGTTTGAGTTTTTAAGAATGCCATTCGGACTAAAAATTGCAGCTCAGACCTCCCAACGATTTACGGACGATGTCACATGAGGTTTAGATTTTGTATTCACCTATATCGACTATGTTTTGATTGCCAGCCCATCAATTGAAGAGCATATCCAGCATCTCAAGATCTTTTTTGACCGTTTTAAATAGCATGGCGTCGTAGTCAATCCTTCGAACTGTATATTCGGTATCTCAGCCATAGAGTTTCTAGGACATTACATCGACTGTCAAGGCATTAAACCACTTCAGAAGAAAGTCGATGCTATTTTCGTGCCTTAAGGTAACCCTCGTACTATTGATAGAAGAAACCAGACAAGTAGTGAATAGGTCTTTATTTCGAACTTCGCGCAGTCACAGTGGAGCGTGGGATTATCTGTTCAGACAAACAAAGGCTCTCAACATTCAATATAAGATAATAGGGAATATAACGCTTATACAAAATAAGGAAGTGAATGAATACTTGAACAATACTGTTTTGGCATATGCTTGGTTGTTTGGGGTCAACTCTTAACCAACCAACCTAAGCTGTTACACTATCATCAATTACTCTGAACCTGCTTCAGTAAAATCATTACGTCGTTTCCTCGGAACATGTTATTTTTACCGACGATTTCTACCAGATTGTGCAGACTTATAACAACCGTTAACAGATTTACAAAAAAGTGATAAAAAAGGGATGAACAAAGGAAAGAACCACATATTTAAGCTACTTTTTGATGCCAAAACGGCATTCAAAAGGCAAAGTCCATGATTACCAACGCCACTATGTCATGACATCTAAATGCTGACCCCAAAACCCACCTGATTCCATGTACGGACGCGTCACAGAAAGCCGTCGTGGCAGTATCACAACAGCGAGTAAACAACTTGACTACTCCCTTAGCGTTCTTCTCCAAGCGAGTATCACCAACTCAAGAACGTTGTAGCACTTTCGGACGGGAGCTACTCGCCATTGATTTAGCAGTCAAACACTTTTTTATTACAAGGGCGTACGTTTACTAACATGGCGGATCACAAACCTCTATGTCATTCATTCAACACCTCTTACGATCGACATTCACCACGAGAAGCACGGCAATCGGATTGCATCTCTCAATTTGCAACAGATATCCAATTTATTAAAGGACATAATAACGTCGTAGCCGATGCACTATCACGAAAGGATATCAATACGCTCGTATGTTAACAAGACGGTGATCTTGAAACAATAGCAAAATTATAAGTAGGCGATGCAGACCTAAAGAGCTGCAAAGAAAAGTCTAACTTGATTCTCAAACCTGTATCCATTCCTTTCTCAAACGCATCTATCATTTGTGACGTTTCAACGGTCAGTAACCGTCCCTTCGTACCTCAAGCTTGCTCACAAACTTTCACATCCAGGAATCAGAGCTACTACTAAACTGATTACGGAACGTTTCGTGTGGCCGAAGATAAACGCAAACATAAAGCGATGGCCCCGAAGCTGCATGCAATGTCAACGCAGCGAAATCCAAAAACACACAATTAGTACTGTTGGGAAGTTTCCACTGCCAGATAAACGCTTCCAACACATTCGTTTAGACATAGTCGGTCCCCTGTCACCGTCAAATTCGTTCGCGCATATCCTCACGGCGGTGGACAGGTTCACAAGTTGGGCAATAACATTTCCTATAACTGACACATCTGCAGATACAGCAGCAGGCACAGTCCTTGGCCGATGGATATCAAATTACGGAGTACCATCAATCGTTACTACAGACCGTGGTCTCCAGTTCCAATCTATCCTATTTCAGGAATTTACAAAACTTCTGCGTGTGGACCATATTAAAACGACAGCTTGTCATCCAGTAGCTAATGGTCTGGTCGAAAGATTTCCCCGCCAATTGAAAAGCTCACTGATGGCACAAGCTGATACATAGAAATGGAGTGATGCACTACCTCTCGTATTCCTAGGAATTCGTTCCACCATCAAGGATGATTTATGTTGCACTTCAGCTGAACTAGTTTATGGTACTAAATTAACATTGCCAGGTCAGTTGGTTGATCAAGAATCAACAGTGGTTTCGTAAGCCGTCTACCACAAACAATGCAAAACATTAAAGCGATACCTTCGCGTGAACATAACAACCGCGTACAACTTGATAAAGACCTGTGGACTTGTAAATTAGTTTTTGTCTGAGTCGATGCAGTTAAAACGTCATTGAAACAACCGTACGAAGGACCTTACCAAGTAATTAAACGAAGAAAACTAACACTTCAACACTTTGGGTATTCTCATTTCCCAAAATAAAATACGTTATTCTCATTGTTCTTTTGTCGTTCTTGTATGGTTATATTTGTTTTCAAATTATTTCTTTTATATGCGTGATTATGTGAAGACTAGCGCACATGTATAACACCTCCTCGCGTTTATGCTCGAACCAGTAGCAATGAGACCAAACGTATGTTACTACCGTTTTGTTATTATTTATTTGAGTTTCCACTTGATGCAAATCATTTACTTCTGTACATTCGAGGCAAGCACGTAGAAAATTCGGTGCAAGCACACATTGCAGGCATGGAGAAAAGTTATTCTATGTGTTCTCGCTCACACCACATATCATCGAGTATTTTGGATGCATTTATTTATTAGCTGTGAACAGCATTTTTGCCGTCTTACGTCAATTTTCATAATGTTTGTGCTTATTACACAGCTTATATCCCAGTCAACCAGGAGTTTGACGTAGTTGTTTTTCACCATCTGAGTGAATATGAAACCAACTGTAGTGTGGTCATTTGTATCAATCTGAACTCGAGTAAGTGAAATGCATTGTTTATTTGGTCACAAATAGAGTATGGTCAGATTTGTTGAAACGAAAGTGGTCTTCAAAAACTTTTAACATTTGGCTCACCACCGTAATGGAGTTGTTGAACAAGGATGTCTGGTGGTTGTTTGATAAATGCAGTTTGAGATAACACTGTTCTGAATTATTTGTAAATATCGAATAAGTCTCTTGTATACAAACATAAACAAATCTAACCATCATGAGTATCTTCATTTTTGAAGGGACTGACATATTAATGTGTAACTTGTCTGAGGAGGGAAAATTATATGAGCAATAACTGACGTTAATAGCTTTTTCTGTTCGTATTGAAATGGCATAAATCACTAATATAAGGGTCAAATTATTTAGCCACGTATTCTTCATAAGTAAAACGATACACTTTTGTCTCGAATGTGGTAAGTGAACTAAGTTATTGGCGAATATTTATTTATGATTTGTCCGATATAAAGATTGAAAATGAATTTCGGTAAACAGGATCGGCAAACACTGACCAAATTATAAATCGATTCGGAATCGAATGTGAGTGATCCCCAGCTTCGGTCAAACGCAAACCGTTCAGCTGAACGAATTTAAAAATTTTGAAACCCTGAGATACCCGAATTACATATAGTTTAAGTTTTTCAGTACGCAATCTGATGATGACGACATGCTTAACGTCAAGTTCAAAACGGGAATGCTATGATAGCAATCAATGTCAACCAATAGACAGTATCACAGTCAAAGTTTTGTATTTTTGGATGTAGTTGTGCAGTGTGAACTCTATTTAGTTAACCGCGATGCATTTTTGGAGATGATTTGTTGTCGGAATTGGTTGAGGAATTTCAGAACCACAATCGAATCTTGCTCAACTGAAGAACTTTTAATCGAGCAGTCTCTGTCAAGAGAGAACATCCAAGTCTGTAAAAGCCATAATGGAATTAGTTGGTGCAATGGTACTGCCTTTAGCCACAGGCAGGAAACACCGAGACATTTCAGAAATTTTAGTTAGCCGCAGAACAGAAAGTTAAAGGCAATAATTGGAGTGCACACGCGCGAGGAAATTATGTGAGCATGCGTTCTGGCAGCCACTTCGGACTGGAAGTATACTTAACCTTAGTTCGTAATTGTGGCAGTTAACCTGGCGACCAGTCAGAATGCAGCGGAATTTATCATTTCAACCCTCCTTGTAAGCGATTGCCATCGGCTATCCTAGTTCTGTGATTCGTGCCAGCGTTTTCGTGTCGCTGCAACCTTTATTCCAGTAGTTTACTGAAATTCCGTCATTTACGTTGTTCTATAAATGTTAGCGCTTATGATTTCGAATCAATCTGGTCTTCTCGCTTTTAGCTAATACTTTGGTCAGCTGACCTGTTTATTCTTTCCGGCACGCTATCGTGCTCTATGTGACAAAATAGTGATGCTTTTTGTTTTGAATAATCTCTTTGTAGATACCACATGCGAGAGCAAGCATTTTTGGCTGGAAAAAATGTTGGTGTCGCCTGGGATTGTTTAGCTTTCCGTATATTCACTCCTAAATATTAATAATGGTGTAGTAGAGAACTATGATAGTAAACGGTTTTCGTTTTGTCATTCTATTTAGTATTATGGATAACCCTCTTCTGTCAAGGAGTCGAACCAGTACTGAGTGTCTAGCAATGGATACCAGTGGTATATTTAGTAGGACCACTAGACCCATGTATCTGGCAATCTGAGACCAAGTCAGAAATGCTGTTAGTCTATTGATGAAGGTTTTTATTGAATATATAGCATCATTAGACCACTTGGGCAAATTACGAGAAGCGTGAACGTAAGCTTAACAATGAAAAGCCGGAAATCCGCTAACCGTATGTGTTGTAAGTATTTTGTTTGGGCTGAAGTAGGAAGCCAGACTGCCAGGATCATAAAGTAAAGTTTAAATAACTGTCATCATGCAAGCGTCTTCATAAATCAAAGCTTACCGGTTGCATCGCCATGTTTTGTTTGAGCAATGATCTCAACCAGGACATATAAGATGATGCAGGAACAGCCTTACAACAAAAGGTATCTGAAAAACGGTGTGCGATTTATGAGATTCTGTAAACGTCAGTTAGAAGTTGTTATATCGTGTGATCCTGGGCAGATTAGGCCGAAAGTCTGTTATATTTATGTTCAACAGCCTGGAGATTCCAGCTCTTCTTCGCTCAAACCATATTTCCGGATAACGTCGTTGCAGCTTCAGTGGTCAGTACTTCCAGGATCACTGTTGATTACAATAGCACTCACCTTAATGCCGAAACTATTTCTCTCATAGTAAGTCCACTTCTTATTTCCGAACTACTAATGTATTCCAATGTGCTTGCATCTCGTTTTACAGAAAACTATCCAAGGAGATTTTCTGTACAATAAATTTAAATTGTCTGTAGTTAAACAGACACTTAGTGTTGATCCACTGCCAATTGCATTTAGTCAAGACGTAGAACACTACTCTACTAGGACTACAGAATATCATGATGTTCGTCTCGTAATTTCAACGCTTGGGCACATTAACGGGAATAAGAAATAAAATTGCTCTGGTTTCTAAACTTATATGCTTCAGTACCTCATTCAAATACCAAGTAGGCTAAACTAAAGAGGTATCGTGATTATCCTTTAATCTGAACTGCTATGTTACTTAAAGTAGCTGACTGTAGATAATTAAGCATATATACCATGAAATTAAACTATAAGCTAACGAGACTTACCTAAAAACGTTGAGTTTCTTACCACTGCCACTTCATGGTATTCGGAAACAGAGTGCCTGCCAACTTTTTGGCCTCTCAAGGTCGTGTAGACTAAAGTGAGGCGATTTTAAAAATAAGGTGTTTGAGTGCTCGTCTAGTCACGGGTCTTGACTTTATCATTAAGAGTTATGTTTTTTGACCAGATTAAATCATTTTCAATCACTGGGCTTAAGAATTTGAATTAAGTGCAACATGTTTCGTTTTTGTGGCGCCGTAATAAAAAGGTTTAGGGCAACCTGACAAAACCCCACAATTTCCCCTGATCTGAGATTTTTCGTCAAAATCTCAACTTGCTTTGTGGAAGTCCCTAAAACTCAAAGAAAGTTTGTGGCTTTGTCTGATGTTGGGGGAATACCATACATTTTCGTCCAACTTCATAGAAAACCCGGAAATTCCCTTGAAAGTCCTCAGATTTTGAAGATAGGGTTTTCGGCATCCTTGTTTCTATCATGAATTAACATCAGCTATACTGCAAACGTACTTAACAGCAATAAAAATGAGGAAGTATCATATGGCAAGTCGTTGCTTTCTCCTTGCTCTCGTTCAACTAGGCAACGATTTCGAGGTCGTTCGGCGTAATAGTTCATTTCTACCCTTGCGTTCATTCAGTCTTCATAGTGAATCATAACTCTTCGTTCTTAGTGTTAGTGTTTTCGAACCTTACCCGTGTCCAGCTTCTAGCTACTGTTAACAGCACTTTTTCTCACTGGTCTAGGATTCCTCTGCTTTTTTATAACACTCAACTATTTCATCAGAAGTTGTCATATATCCTCTTCAAACGCATGTCTAGATGCTTGTGTAGCGTGGCATCGAGTTGAGATTAACTATGAACACCGCTACAGAGAAACACGTGCCAGGTAAATCAGAAGGCAGAGGTTGAACGTAACCAAAGAAACCCATAAAATCTCCGAGAAGCCAAATATCAGAGGGCAGTTAATGGACCAAGTCGAGTTATATTTGCTGGCGATCTCGTGGCATCGAAAGGATACCGAGATCGTGCCAGGATACAAGCTTGGTTACAGAACGTAACCGAATTCGCGCGAAGTTACAATCAAAGTGTAAGTAAAAGAATGGAAGCACAAAATAGCTGTCATTAGCACAGTCAAACAAAAGCACGTTAAAATAAGCACTGGTACAGTTGGGTATAATAATAATTGTTTTTATTAAACCAGTAGTGTTCTCGTGATAAATGTGAGTCACTACACTTGTAAAATGTTGCCGCTTGAGAATATTCTGTCAAAAAGTCAATCAATTTTAGTCAGCCTAATATACAGTGAGAATGTTAAAGTTTGGTGCTTGGACGCAAATAATTTGTTTTGGGAATCTTATGGTGCTGTTTTGTTTCGCTAGATTGTGTGACTGAAAGTCGTGCTCTTGTTGCTAGTTGGAAAGTGTTCCTTTGAACTTGTGTTGATATTCCATTTGATTCAGCTGCGTGTATTAAGTATCCTGATGGTTTGGAAATTCGTCAGCATAACATCTACACATTTATTATCACTGTTAAACCAGCCTTGTGTGCTTCCATAGTTTATACATGGACTGTTTGTTTTGTTTCTTCCTGATTACTCTCTTCAATATTATTATTAATTGCCACATCATATGTCCCAAGTTTTAACTGTTTTCTATTTTGTAGTTGTTATTTAAGAAATCTCAAATTTGAATGACTAATGATGAAGGGTTGCAGCGTCAGCTGCTTCAAGAATTGCAAAAACAACGATTCCAACAGTTGGGTCATCAGTTAACTTCAATCTGTTGGGATAAATGTGTTACGAAATTAAGTAATTCACTTGACTCTAGAACTGAGAGTTGTATAGTCAATTGTGTAGAGCGTTACATTGATGTTTCCGGTGCACTTACTCGTCGTCAGAATGAAACACGTTTAGGATTTATGGATGTACAACCTAATGATTAGTTAATAAAGATATATCGATTGCAAATTTCTTTCTTCTCGATTCAAACCTTTGATTTTTTCCAAAATAATTCATTGACCTGACTTATATTTCAGATGATTAATTTCCCCTCAATACGGTAAGATGTCAATAAAGTGTATGTAATGTTTTGTTTGTTACTTTCAGTCTGCTTAAATGCACTGTTGGATCTGCATTTTGTTCAGTAGGTCTTATTTTCAAATAAAATAAATATTGAAAAATAATGCTCATTTAAACAACCAGGTGCCGTTTTCACGTTTATTATCAAATACAACTACTTATCCGGAGTATGGAATCACAAATATTCAAGATGATAGTGATTTTGACAAACGTGTATTAAATAATTCAGCACTCGTCATTGTTGACTTTCATGCTAAATGGTGAGTAATTATTGTGAAACTGTGATAATTGGAAGTACTTGAATTATTATACAAACTAGGAATCCTAGAAATAATGAAATTGAATCTAGACGTACTAGATAAGCACAAACGAATATAATGTATTTGGAATTCGAAATCAAGCAGTCAACAAGTACCAGGAATCATTAGTTCATGCAAACACCACATCCGCCACAGCTTAAATTATAGTCTAATTTTCCGCAATCGATTTACATCTTCGCCTTATATTCATACTGTGTCTGTCCGACTGTGTATTGGATGTAGACTCTGTATGATCTAGAATATACTCATTAGTATTAGAGTTAGTAACTGAAAATGGGACGGACCCACCTGGGTCCTGAAATTGCATACAATCGCTATGTCGTTTGTGTACTGACATCATTGATATCTAGAATTTAAACCATAGATATTCCAACGCTACCTCACCTCACGAAATAATGTTGGGTCTTCAACTCCCCAAGTTCTGAATCATGTGGCTCCATTTAAAATATATTTCTCACAATGACTGGAGTATTCATTAGAAGTAAATTCATGATAAGGAGAAACAACAGTTGATATGAAATCATCCGAATTGTAATCAAAATCGAGCTCATTTAGTACTCGTGCTTCGCATTGAACAAGTTTCCCACAAGAAACAAATGCATTACAATGACAAATAATATATGATATGACATCAAGATTTGATTCTTCTGAAGTACTTTCCTCAAATTTATTATGAACGTCATTGCAGAGTAAAGGGTCATTAGAAAGATCAGCATCTATCAACACTGCATCAGGTTTCCGATCAAGATTAGATTCACTCAACATATTTTCCTCAGATTTGTAAGAACTTTCATCAGGAATATGTGAATCATTAAGACAAACTATATCTGGTACATAACATGAGAGATCTGATAAGAAGTTGGTAGATTAGAAACTGTTGTCTCACAAGGATTCTGAGTTTCATTTAATTCTGTATTGCTGTGTGACTCTATACCACTTTTCGAAGTCGTGGATAAAGATAAATGATCATTAGAAACATCCTACCTAATGGGATCACAATCACAAATTTTAGCAATTGTTGCAGTGGAATGAACCGTAGTATTGTGGTGTGTGCTACTTATATTGACATAAGTAGTATATGATGTTAATCATGAACAGAAGGTTTGACAGCAGAAAGACAAGAGAATCGAGCAGCAAAGAATGGAAACAGGATGCAATTTGTATGAAAATGCAAAAACGATGAGGTCTAAGTCATTTTGAGACTATCGGTAGACATTTTGCAAATTAAACATTTACTTTATGATTGTTAGATTTTACTAACAAGTCCTGTAATTTTGTGCTAAATGCATTTGGTTGTCTCCACGGATGTTCTACTCACTACAAGTGACTAAACGTGTCCAATCGCACCACGTTTATAGTATTTAGAATTACGAAATACACATGAATTAAATGAAACATGCCACAGGATAGGAATTGACTAGACTTGCGCCCATATTTGTGAACTGCATCGCAACTCCCCAATAAATTATCTGCATAACGACTACTGTGAGACATTTCTCGAGCTCTAGTTAGTCACTTTAGTGATCTCACATTGTGCTCCATCTGAATAGAAACAAATAAATCTATCCTCCCAACTCTCAACATCTTCCTTACTTGTATTCGAGTTATTTCGTTAGAAAATATTTAAATAATAATATCGTCAGTTTCTGTCTTTTTCAAAGTAAAAAGATCTATGACTGCTAAATAAATGATATAATTACAGTTAATCGTATTTTGTCAAATTCTCCATTGTGAATGATTGTCTAAATATGACGGTCGGCTGGCCTCAACCTCTATGTGTAATTCCAATGTTTTGACGTAATACTATAATCTCATATATTCTGGACGAATTAGAGCCAGCTTGATTTGTATGGTTTATCACCATTCCATACTGATTGTCAGCAAATGGCAACACAAAATTTAGGTGATCGTAGTTTATGTATCGAATAGTTATGATATGAACATGGTGCTTGTGAATATTTCAATGTGGACGATTTCAAAACATAATGTTGGACATTGCGATTACTAACTAGGTAACAATTCAGTAGTATCTAGTGCGAATATGTTCAGAAAGTTACCGACACAACTCTACACTGTAATAACAAAATTGAATCTACTGTAAGAAGAATACTTAGTAATCACATGCACACACACATATATATAAAATATACCTACACGATTATCAAACTGTCATCTTTTGATTGACTATTTTGCAAGAATTTTGAAGTGAATACGTGCATGCATAGAAACAGTAATAACAACTGAACAATTCATTGATTCAAACAACCGATCAAAAAAAAGGAATTAATTCAGTGATAAGATAGAAGCATTGGAAAGTCACTTCACATCTGAATTTCAGCACACCTAGTGTTTATGCGAAGGAATTCCTTTGATCGTTGATCGACCGTCCTATTATACCACCCGTTAAGAACATTTTAACAAGTGTTTTCTTTGTGTTAACTCATAAATGTACTTTAATATTGATGGAAACGGTTTGTAGTTTAAATGGATGTTTTTGATGTTGTTGAATTCTCTGGAATGAATAGTTTAATTATAGAGGTCTCCTTAACGTTCCTAACAACGTCATTGGATCGTACTTCCTTTTGAAGTGAGCTTTACTTACGAATGCATCAGTACGGACTGGTAGGGAAACTGCATAATCTGTTATCATTGACATTAATGGACATAGACAACTATACACATGAATTCGATTGGTAAGTAGTTGAAATTGTGGAATGAAGAAATTTTAGGGAGTTTCATTATAAGGTGTTTGGGCGATTGTTGAATTTAAAGTTTCATATAACGGACTAATTTCAGTTAGACAACTACTGAGAACCGAGAACCACTGGAAAGCTATTTTGTTCCAATATGCGACTACTTAACAATGTGTCCACAGCCCCATGAAGACTCGAACCCAGGACCTTCAAGTCTCACAGTTAGCTCTTAGCCATCAGTTTGCTGAGTTGGTATCCAATGTTTTAAATCCCTAACTTCAATCAGTTTGCGGTATTGTAATCTGACAATCAAAACCGAGCAGTGGCTTTCCAGAAATATTCTATTGATTCATGAGTGCTGACTGAGATTGAATCAATATGATATTGACCTATTTTCATTCTCAATATGAATAATAATAATCTATGAAATAATATTATTGTCACGTAATCTCATTAAAATTTCATATCATGAACTGGCCATGGTTAGACAGTAGTTGATAAAGAATCGACCTAATGAATTACAATTTAAAACACAATCTGACCTCGTGTTGACTCGTATTGACTAATATCACACTGCGACAAAATGTAATATTCAAAAATTCATTAGAAATGACAGAATATTCAAATATGAAGTGATTCAATAAAGTAAGTGACAATAAAGTTAGTCTAACCTTTTAATAATTTGCGTAGGGAGTCTTCTTTTCAGAAGTTCAAAGCAATTAGTCTGATTCCACTGTGTTCTGTGACTCAATTCGTTTACGTCACACACTTCTCACTGTGTACGAATCGCACTATCCAAAAAAAGATGATATGCGAGTAAGACGATTTAACTGTCAAACCGAATTAAGATTATGTAAATAAAAAAGCATCACTTGAGAGCTTAACTAGGACATAAATTATTTCCTTCAGTAGCATGGCACCCAAGTAATATCTCAGATACCAATTGACCTTAGAACAATGAATGATTGACTTGTTTATATGACATCACGTGACAGGTCTAGAAAACCCAAGTCAGTCAAATTCTTTTACATATGACAGCTGAACTCTTCGTCACATTATTGTATCACCTAGTTTAATATCGGCACAGAACTTCGCAGTCAACGTAATTTGCAGCATTGAACAACACATTATTTTCGCTAGAACTTTCGAAATTAGTTTTGCGGTGTGAAGTAACAAACTGCTAGGATTAATAATTGTGTTGGATTTCATCGTAGTTGCGTTTTTTAAAGTAATGCAAAGAGATCACATGACAGTCGGTGAGTCAAGAAATGTGATTATGTATTATTGCAAATAACTGGGAATCGACATGATGCATATTCAATATCAGAAACAAACTCGGAAGTAATTATTTATTGCTTTAGGCCAACGAGAGACCTTAGAATGACAAGTATGAAACGCTGAGTAGCACTGGACAGTTTACAATTATGTGTATGGGCCTCTTTATCAGAGTTAATGAAGGTCCCGTCTAATGAGTAGTTCCATACCTTTAAACCACCCGGTTAACAATGAACAGTTTACATTCCGAACATCAATCAATGCACGATACCCATCACATGCTCGATATGGTTGATTTAAATTTTAAAGAGTCCATTGATTCGATGAACACAATCTTTGTGATTCACACACAAGTCTTGTGCTTTTGGTTTTTCCCTCATTCTTAACTTCAACATTAATTCATTCTCAGCAATTATTGCATGTTGAGATTATATGATCAATTAATATGGCGACAGTTGATTGGTTCACAAATTCACTTGCAGCATTTTTATTCCACATTAGCATTGCTCATTCAGTAGTCGATTAGGTACAAATCAGTAGATGTTGGAATCCATCGACAGATGAACACCTGAAATCTTCGTATTACATAATAATCACAATATATTATACATCTAATCCGGGTGTATTGTGGATAACTTTCGATAATCTGTCTGATAGAATAGTAGTGACTAAGTGTAACACTCAAATAATA